ATCAGCGCCTATCAGCGAATTTTTACGTACCTATTCATCGAATAAACAGGCCAATAGGCCCAATTTCTAGAAGAGCTTTGCAGTATTAGCAGTAATATTCATTTTTCACTAATTCAGTAAAGGCACGTCAAGCTAAATGACGGTGCCGTATAGGATACTGGTTCGAATCCTGTGTGAGGACGAATATTTTCTTTGAAAGTTTCTCGACATTCAGTAAATGCTGTTTAATACTGTTTAAACAGGGCATTTACTTAAACATTTGTATCTATAAAAACAATGTATAAACATACAAATGTCTTAAAAAATAATTGTCGGACTTTGTCCATTCCATAATGTACATATATTTCATATATATATATATATATATATATATATATATATATATATATATATATATATATATATTCACTGATGAATTTTGAACAGAGATGCTTTTATCTGTATACTTATTGCCGAAGACCATGTATATATTTTTTTTTATTATGTTTTAAAATTTTGTCTGGGAAAATTGAGGCAATTTTATTTCTCAGTTTCCTAACTATTCTGTTTCCGATTTTCTCATTCTCTAATTAAATGTTTTACACGTCTTTTTTGTCAGATAATTTTAGATGACTTGTTACCTTTTTATATTTTGTATAAATTTAATTATATGTATGATTTTAATATTAAATTACTCAACTGATTCCAATGAATTGCATTGTATTACTTCATCTCAACCCTTTTTAACACATCAACTTCGCTTATTTTCAATTCTAGCGATTTTCTCCATCAGGCCATTATGCAACATTGCAAAAATGAAAAATGATATAATTGAGAAAGTATAAATAATGAAGCACTCAAGAAATAATGTCATAATTAAATTAAATTTAATTGGCAAAATAACTTTAAACTCTGTAAGCAATTAGACATACAATTCTGTCACTCATTAGGAATATCGATTATGGCAAGAAAAATTAAATTACTTATTATATTGCCAGCCACTCAAATTCTAAACTACATGTATAGAGTCATGCACTAAAGTTTTTACGATAACTGACATTCAATATATCTTCTGAAAAATATGTATATGAGACTAACAAGAGAATAGAATTAAGATTCCATTGGTGCATGAAATAATTAATGTAGAATATATAACATTAAAACTTGTAAAAAAATGAGAAAAAATAAACAGAATTATTCATATTTTATCTCATGTGTCTCAGAATCTCATTTTTCCTGTCACCATGCATTTTACTCTAATTTTCCTGTTTATTTACATACAACAAAATATCAGCCGTTTCTAAATTGCTCCCACAAAAAACTGAAAATAAATCATAAATACTGATTCATTTCTCTGAATGAAAAGAAACCATATATTATGAAAGTATATAACATTTTTCAGAAATATATATATATATATATATATATATATATATATATATATATATAATATATATTGAAAAAAAAAATTAAAAAATTTAAATCTTCAAACACGCTGGGTTGTAGATTAATATTCTTTCGTTTTTTTTTATTATTTCATTTAGATTCCTCGACTGGTTTCGGCCAAAATGGCCATCATCGGGAGAAGAAATATTTCTGCTTGCAGGTAGCAGTGAACTATAGACATGAATGTCTTGATGGAGAAAATGAACTTTTGTCTGTAGTTTTCACTTGTTTTTTTTTAATTTTTTTCAACTTTTTAACATGAATCTTTTAACATTCCTTGTGTTGGTCAAACAGTCTCTTTTAAGTTGTTATTTGAGATAAGAGCTGGATGGATCTATGCTTCTCTGAATCCCCCTTGTTCAGTTTCACAGTTTTATTGATCCTTTATATATATATATATATATGTGTGTGTGTGTATGTGTATATATATAAATATGTATATGTGTATGTATGATAAAATCACGGCGTTATAATGGTTGGCAAGCATGGTTCGCTAGATTAGTTGCGACTGAGAAATGAGTTCGTTCCTCACTGGGTGCCCCCTAATTTCGGCTTTGTGCCACGATATATTTGTATATATATGTATGTGTGTGTGTATGTGTGTATGTATGTGTGTATATATATATCTGTGTGTATATATGTATATATCTGTATGTGTCCTATTTTATTGTGTATGTATGTTTATATATAAGTATATTTCTGTTTGTATGAATGTGTTTATATATTTGTATGTTAGACTATATGTATATTGCTGTGTGTTGGTATTTGAAGGTATATTTATGTATCTATATGTTAGCACGTTTATGTATGTATTTGGTTGAGTGTTGTTGTATTTTTATGTATGCATGTATATATTTGCAGTTGTTATTGTAGATAGATATATTTATATATGTTTATTTGTAGATATGTATGTATGTGTGTATATATATTTATGTATGTTTGTGTATGTATATATATGTGTGTGTGTTGGCACCTATTATGTATGAGTTTGTTTGTGTGTATGTGTGGGTATGGAAACTTTGGTATATCATGACTGTTATTTTATATATGTAAGTATGTGTGCATAACAATCTGT